TATTATAACTATATTGCCTAGAGTGATGCCTAGAAAGTAAAAGTTACTCATTAACTACTCATTGAACCAAGGCTTTACCAGGTAGTCCCTTCTCAATGAAGTAGTGGAAAGGGTGATAAAGGAGATGTATATTCCAGACCTTTTGCTACATGATCTTAGAAACATTCAAGTGATGTGTTTTACTGTCCTCACCTGAAAAATAAAAGGTGCCTGTGGGATCAGAGGACTGGGTAGTGGAGGGCTCCCCCCATACACATTACAAAGGTACCTGAAATATTTGGAATTAGCAGGCATTAGTTGCTAGTACACATTTGGCTGGTCTAAGTCCCTGTTTTGCTTACATAGAAACATGTGTGCAACTACTTGACTATTTTATTTTATGTAATCTTCACTTTAAAAATAGTAATTTTAGATAAGTATAATATTTATGTTAAGAAATATAAACCTCAAGATTTTAATATAATTGATATAATGAAATCAGGAATGCTACAGGTGAAATACCTGCAACTTTGATTGGTTGATTATTGATTATGGGTTAATTTTGTACTCAATACAAAAAAAAATGCTGAGGTTGTATCATCAAGAGTAGCACAATTTCTAGGAATAATTAAGATGTTGTGATTTTTATTGGCTTTTTGGAGACAATAATCTCTTTCTGAACAAGAATTTTTATTTGTTTGATTTCCTAACATATCATATAAGTCACCTATTTGTACAATTCAATAGTTGTTACATTTGCATATTTATACCTATTTTCAGAGATGCATAATAAATAATGTGAGGTAGTCACATGGAATGCAGTTAATAGTTTATCCCTCTTCCATTAGAATAAAAGGCCTTTTTTGTTTGTTTGTTTGTTTGGGGATTATATCTGTCACCATTATATTCACTAAATCTTAATAGAAATTCAATATGTATTTATTTATTTCAGTCACACTGGAATTGGGACAACCCTGTACAGAGAACCTTGCAGACAAAGCCAATATACTTACCATGTTCCAACTGAATATGCGTAAAGATTTGAGAGTCTAGGGAACACAATTCAGAAAGCTTTATCACTTCACTTGCTCTGCAGCTTGGGCAATTCATGCATAACCTTTCCAAACATTAGTTTTCTTATCTATAAAGTGGTGATAATAGTTCCCAAGTTGGTATGAGGATCAAATGATATTTTAATGAACTTTGCAAACTCTGAAGCACTGTGTTAATGGAGGGTGATGTTGCAGTTATACAAAGGGAAGAAGACATGTCAGTCTT